CTGGGCCCTCCCTGACCTCAATCAGCACTCGTACTCAGACCGGAGACGACACAACAGCGGAAGTCGAGCCATAACCCGCCCCTAAGCAATCACTTTCAACAAGCTAAGTGACTATGCAATTTTCTCAAATTATTATTACGCAAATACTCATATACGATGGTTAGGAGACCTTTCTCTCGCCCACTCACTTCCTGTCACTTTAACTTCAAATTACCGTCTCGAATTTAACACGCGAGTAACCTCTCTTGGAATAGAGGGTACTCCAAAAAATGCCAAGAGAAGATCCCGAACTTTCCCGTTCACTTTCCATAAAAACAGCATGATGATTTTTCTTTTAGTTGTAGATGCTTTTGTCTTCTTTTCAAGTGAGCCACAGTTTTGTTTGACTAAACGGATTGTCAAATTAATTGAGCGGTCTAAATTAATTATAAACCGGAAACTGTGGAGTTAAGCTCGAAAGCAGTAGAGGCTCGCAGGGTAGAGCTACAGAGCGAATCAAAACGAAATTGCAATTCATGGCTCTGGTTATGTACTGGTCATCCGATGATTGTTTATTAGGCGGCTTACTATAAGCCAACAAGGTAGAATTTTTAGTCACCTCAACACCATCCAGCAAACTAATGGGGCTATAAGTGGATGCCGCCCACGGTCAGCCCACATAGAGCTCGGAAACGCGTCAAGTGTCGAGTTTTCAACTAAAGTGAAATCCCAATTTCTCGCACCTTCGACTCGATTTCTCGAGCGGTCTGATGACTCCGGCCAAGCAATAGTCGTTTCCCTTTGGTTTGTTTGTTTGTTTGTTTGTTTTGCTTTATAATTTAGGGCCTGGTATCTTGAACTCCTAATTTCTCGAACAATTCTCGTTTCCTTCGAAGAATCAGGATTCACGAGTACTACTAGCCGCCAAGCGGCTGGAAATTAGTTAACCTGAGTGATCCCAAACGTCAATCAAGTCTGTGTCCCTGGTTCATGGCATCGTTTCTGCAATCTTTTGATGAATGTCAATTGACTGACTGCGGCACGAGGACAAAAGTTTTTTTTTTTCCATGAAGATAAAAGTTTGTTTTAGGAGGATTAAAGTATTTTTTTACGAGGATAAAAGTTATAAAGAGATAGGTTTGCAACAATATAAATGTTTGTACTCTTAATATAAAAGACAAACAAATACACGCTTCGATACCATAAGAGATTTAGGGCGCCCTACCTTCCGGCACTTATTTAGACACACGAAAGTCAATTTATGTATGCCACGCTTTAGTAATTTTTAAAGAATGCTGACTTAATGTGGGCAAAATTCTCGTCGTTTTCCTTAAAATTTTATTCTCTCCAGATAAGATTTCAAATTTACAAGATAACATTAAAAAAAAAACGTATTAACAGTGCCAGCAAAATCAACTAGACCAACAAACACACATATTCAAACATGAAGAAGTAAAAGCTAAATGTGACCGTAAGTGGCTTTGAAACCGTGTGGTTCGGATTGGTGGGTGGGAGTTTACTATAAACTGTTAAATCTCTCTCTTAAGTATTTTTAAATACTTTAGAGAATAAGATTGGATCCTATTGTATTTGCTGCGTGCTAAATGAAAGCCTTCCGGACTCTTAGCTTTGTAGCGGCTGGCTGACTCCAGAACACAACTTAGTATGTTTTTATCTAAACCTGTAAACAGGTTTATTTTTAAAACTAAAACAATAACACAGTTTTGCAGCTGGCAAACCTGGTAACTGGATGACGGAAACTTTGCCAAAATTTCCGTGCGGGGCCGCAAAATGGGAGTTCCCATATTACGCAATCTTTTTATAGAGTTTATTTTTTCCATGTATAATGTTGTGGAGGATGAACCGATGCTGTGCACAGACCAGGCCATTACACCTACAGGACCTCCGAGGAGGTAATTTCTATTCGTTGAAAGGTGAAATTAGACAGATCTCCATTTAAATGAATGTTTTTCTAGAGATTTTTCGAGAGCATCCCAAATACACCATCCACGCACATTTTCGTCCCCTTTGTTATATCTCCGCCCGACGAGAACACAAAACTACCGCAAAAACCAGGTCAAACTAGAGAGTTTTAACTTCCCTTACTCTGCAAGACAGTCGTTCGTGTAATTAATGGGATATATCGAACGCCATCGATTGTTCGCATAGCTAATTGGCTGTCTAGATTAATAACATATATATATATTCTATGCCGCAAAGGAATAAAATAAGAATGATAGATGATAGTAGTGCTAAATTGGTCTGTTTGTTCAGGAATTAAACTTTATTTGTTAAGCCATCGGTTGAAATAACGTTAAAAATAAACACGTGGGCAGAAAAACTGTATACAGGTCAAAGGCTAGCTGAGCCTTTACGCGTGGGTGGGATGATCTCGATCTTTCGCGCGCGACTGTCTCGCATGACAGTCCTGCGTGTGTCGCGTGCCTGCAGTATCTTTTCGTGCCGATCGGAAAATTAATTGGATCGATTAAGATTTCCCGGCTTCCTTGGAAGATTACGGATGTGATCAAATGGGCTGCGATCAAATGTAAACAGTTCAATTTGATATTATTTACACAAGCATGTCTGCCACTCACGGAAAGTTCCCCTGCTTCGTGGGATTCCACAGCTGACTTAATTTTTATACTGTTTCGCTTTCGTGGACAAGTTAAAAAGAAAATTAAATTAGTTACTCGCTGATTCCGACCTACATGGAGGTAAGAACTCCCGGGACTTGACGGCGGCTTGTCGCGACCCCGTCATAGGCCTGGTAATACCCACATAACCTACAGGCCATGCTGTCGGTTATAATGTTAGCATGTCCAACCAGAAGGAATTTAACGCGAATTTCCGTTTTCCGCTCAAAATTGAATAATAAGCACAGGCCCTCAATACCCAGTTTTAAGTGGGCCAAGTGAGCGTGTCGCAGATGTAGTCATTTTTTGGCAGCCAAATACAAACTTGTGCAAGGTTCTCAGTGATGATTAAAGTTTAAAAAAACACTCCAAATATGAGCGCAGCTCAGATCAAAGTCAATCCCTCTATACAAACGGCGAAAAACGACAAGTTGCCTGCATCCATGCTAAAGAACGGTCGGCTGAGCAGATTATGTGCGAGTCTACGAGGACAGCCGGAAGAAATACAATAGCTCTTTATCCGTTGATGACAATATGTAAAAAGCCTTCATAAAGCTCAGGCATATAAAACTTACTTAACAACCGAGGTTAGGAGGGCAGGAGCCCAGCCAGGTCATAAGCAAAATAGTTTAAACGTCGTTTCCTGAGAGAGAACTGAGAAGATGTCCAATCTTTGCCGGCAGCACTTTTGCCAAAGCGAGGAGTTTAAAATGAATAAAATCTTTGTCGGTGGGAAGCATGGGTGGTTAAGGAACAGAAGAGAAGACGAGAAGAGAGTTTTGGCTTGTATAGGAAGCGTAAGAACACATAGATGCTAAAACCGTGAGAAAGGAGAGCGCGAGGGAATTTCTGGTTGACCAGTCAACATGTTAATCAATCATAAGTAGTCCATACCGGCTGTTTGTGTTTCAGTCTCGCTTTTGAGCTAAAAGCTTGCGAGCGCTACCGTTCGTGTTTATTTTATAGGAATCCGCCATTATCTTAGGATTACTCAGTCAAACGATCTAGCTGTCGCGAGCGACAACTAAAAACGTGCATATTTGAACTCAAAATAAAGATAAGTATACGTTTTTCTCGTGGTTCGCTTATAAAGAAAGAGCAACGAGCAAAGAGCTAACCCACTTGAGTCACGATCTTTTCTTTGGACAGAAAAAGACCGTCAGTCCCTATCGGTTTCCACCAGTCCACATACAAAAAAATAAAAGTCTCCTTCCTTTACTTCAGTCGGTTCTACGTCGCCAAGTTTACTCCCCTCCCCTGACATTCCACTTTTTCTCTCTAGAGGTGAACTGATGGTTGCAGGTAAGCTGCAAGAATATTGAAGTCGACTCAGAAAGAACCAGGTCGACAAGTCCGGGAGGCCGGGAGGTAAAGTGCTGTGCAGCAGAATTATGGATCTTGTTAATTACCAAGTGCTGTAATTGAGATAAATTTCTGATCCCTAAGTAGGCTTTTGAGTCTTGGGAGACCAATGTAGAAAAATTCAAGAGGCAGATTGAAAATTTCAACTTATCATTCTCGTTAGATTTCTCATACTTCGTTATACATCGTGAGTAATGATCCTTGGCTAATACCGATAGTTGACTTATTCTTCAGTAAAACTTCCACCACTTTGTGCCTCCATGAGTGCGCTTATCAGTCCTTGTAGGAGGACTACTAGTTTGATTTCTTGTGCCTTGAATATCGAATCAATGAGAGGAATACTTTGGACGAATTCATTCGACTTCTTTAGGGCACTGCTTTTTAGCTGTGACTCTCTTTTTGAAATTCTAACATTTGTTTAGCTTGACTTCTTTTTACATCTGCTACTTAATTCTCAGAGCGTATGGCAAGAATTGCACAACTAACTAAAGGGGTCAATATTTCGAGCGTGTGATAGGAAGAGCAATGCATTTCAGCCGGACTAACTTGCTGGAATAAAAAGTAGCGTTAAAAGCGACTTTTTGTGACCGTCGAAAGAAAACAGTATTTGGATTGGTTGGCGTTTTCTAAGCCCTGATTGACTTAGGATAAGTCGCGCAATGCTCCCAATAAGCAAGTTTTTTTTTAACAGTCAGGAGTAAAGTTAAAACCAGCCATGCCGCGGTTTCCAAAAGTTGCATATTTTCCCGCCCTTAGCACTGATTGCATGTTTTCCCGCGCTCAACGTGTCACGAGGTACTCGTTTTCCCGTTTTGCAGTAGTTGCACGACATCTTCCCGCTCCCGGTTACATTCTGATTGGCTCATTGCAACATTTGCTCTTAATGTAATTGGCCAGATAGGCTGGATTAGTTTGGTTCACAAGAAAATCGTTTTATCACAAAATCACCCAGAAAAATGTTGGAATTGTTCTTTGGAATGTCAAAATACTTCTTGCTAAAAATAAATAATTTTATTATAGAAACACTCTTCGGAAATCAATAAATATGATCTTTTTCATTCTTTTCATAAATAAATAATAAATAACTATAATTTAGAGGCCTTTGGCCATGGAAGTTAATTTAAAAAATAAGTATATAAATAATATAAATATTACAAGGACAAAAAATTATCTAATAAATATAACTAACGATTTGAATAACGAGTTGTACAGACGAACATATTCTTCATAAATAAATGATGCACATGAAAAGGCAAAGGCTACAACTTCTTTGGAGAGTTAATAACTTGTTCCTTATCTTTTACATCTTTGAGAAAAAAGTGATTAACTTGTTTAGTAAATAGTCTGGAACAATATCTGGTAGTTTCTCTTTCGATCAAAGTAACTTCATTTTTCGAATATCGAATACGCTGTATAATTCAACATACTAAAATAAATTATATTGTAAATTTCAATCAGATAGCTAAGTAGATATTTTATATTATACCTAATTTTCTCTGGCTCTCTTTATTGGCCCCTGGCCTTGCAGGTTCTCTGAGACTCAAGTCGCGGCGATGAAAAAATCGTTATGACACGTGACACCGCATGAAACTAGTATAACGATCATTCGGATCGTAGCAATGTAATATTGACTATATGTAGTCTTGACAATATTATGTCCTTTTTGTAAACAATAAATATAAATTCTTGAATAAATAATTTAAATAATCTCATGAATTTGATATAGATATAACCTAGAGAATAATCGTGTCAGTTCATTTCTATAAATTGGACAGATCTCTGATATGGGTGTGTTTTTCTCGCCGATTTTGTTCTGCCATCTCTTGTTATCGCCAGGTACCATTGGGCGTTAAGCTTTGAGCGAAATCTCGTGTATCCCTTGGATGAAAGATCTTGGAAAAACACGCAACCTTGGTTTGTCTTGCCTTGCGTCGACAACTGCGGATCAATACAAGAGTTATTCATGTCAGTTCTTTAGCCCTGTATTATCTTGCATGTTGCCTGTTTGGGGGATGAGGTATTGGGTAGATTGGTCATGGGAAAAGAACCTCAGTTACAGTATCAGTGCCCCTAGCTCGAAGCGTGACAAATAAAGATATTAAAATGCTAGTTTGGTCTTGGTTTCGCTGGGAAAATTTTATGAAAATAACTCCACCTCCTTCGACTTGAAATCGCTTTTGGACTGTAGAAAACGCTCAGTATTGTTGTAAGTTTGAGATTGGTTTGAATAAATTGGTTTAAAATTTTATGTGGAGTTATCTCGATACTTCTGCCCTGTTCATTTGCTGTCTAAGTACTCGACTAGACGATATGATCCGTCTGGCCATCTCATTATGACTACTCTCTTAGAACATGGATGTCGTATCGTTTTTATTATCAACTAAGTAGCCTGGCAGACGATAAGGCATTAAGTGATTTTGTCTCGGCACAATTACTAATCACTAGACCGGGTTCACTGATAAGTTCACTTACACCTCTCATCTGCCAGCCTGGAGGATATGACTGGGTTTGCACCCATGCTTCCCCCGAATCACGTATTCTATCTATACGTGAATCAATCTTTCTCTGATCCCTCTTCCTTTCCCATCACCTTGGTATCTCTCGATATCCCAACCCACCCAATGTCTTAATCTAGATAGTCATCCAGGTTGTTCCAACGTTTCAAGTCACACCTGGTCTGGTTTTGACTCTGTGTGACATGCCACCTGTTTGCATAGTGCATATAAGACCAATTAATGGAATGTCTGTGTGTATATCATATCGGCTCGTCAGATCTATCCGCTTTATGGGAGGTAACTGAACAACCCGTCTGCGGTCAAGACGTTTTTCCTCCGTAGTTCAACACATGCTTCAGTGTGTAAAAGTTATGAAAAGTAGACAGTTTTGCTAAAGAAACCACGAACTTACGGAATATTCTTCTTTGGCGTACATCCGATGGAAATGGCGTGGTTATCGAATCTTATCCGGATAAGAAAAATTTCCTCGTACCTGTGCACCGTAAAGCCGTATAGGGTAACTCCGAGGCGCGCAATTTCCGTGAGAAATCCGCGCCCCTGGGGTCAGAAAGTGGTTCAGATACTTCGCCATGCACTGGAATAGTTCTACTCTGTTTCCAATTGTATTGCCTCGCACGAAACCTTTTTAAAACTGAGCCAAACCACCATATAAACCGGTGCCAAGTTTTCTGCATACCCCCAGGCATGGTTCGCGCGTCACTGGGTCTATGAGGGCTTGCAATACAGCACAACCCCGATCACTATAACCCTGTCCCAATACATCATGTACAAACTCTTGCTTGTGTCAAGAACATGGAATATACGGAGGGCTGGTGTAATTCTACCTCATAGCGATAAACCGTAGAAAACTTACTTTTGCAACGACTGACCCATGCTTGTCGAGACATAAGCAGAGACTTCCATCGTATGACTTCAATATAATTTGACCCCCAGATCCAACTGATTCCAGCTTGATCTTAACTACAAAACAAAACATAATATCGTTACAACAAAGCATAGCGAATCCAATAAATGTATGAGACTGTCACGCTCTTGTGGAAATTATTACGCTGTCTGTGACACGATATAACAATCGCGCACACTCTAAACAAAAACGTGACCAAGCGTGCTGCGAGAGAAAAGAGTTTTTGCGCAAGTTTAATGTTTCCCTCTATATGCGAAGTGATCAAAGTGCTTTAGCAGGTTCTTACAAGAGAGCCCTTGTAAACTATGTCGGTGATTTCAGTGTAACTCAGGTATTAAACATGATTAAATTAGTGTTAAATAGATTTTAAATCGTCCCAAATTCGCCAGTAGTTTTTATAGGACGTGATTCGCGGTCGCTTTTCATAAAATCTCGCTTGAAGTTTGTGCAAAAGTAATCCTTATTCACCTATTCAGCGGCCATTAAATAGAATTAAGATTTCTTTGTTACTTTACGATCATTAATTAAAATCAAAAAGATCGGCGGAAGGACAAATCCCAGTTCACATCACTCACCACTTAATTCGTGTTTGTCACCGAAGCCGTCCACTTTACCGTTGTGGATTCGCACAAACTTGGCGCTGTTCTTGGAGTACAACCTTTTGTACTTGTGGATTGTAACAACGTTGTTATTCATCACATCCAGCGGGTTAATTCCACTGTTCTCTAGAGCTTGGGTGTCCTAAAAAGCAAAGTAAACAACATTCAATTATAGTGCGGACCTACCAAGGCGATCGAACGCTTTGTGCTGTGGTTTCGGTGAAATTGTCCTGGATCTTAGCTTGTTTGCTAGTCTGTCAGTAACGCTCGCCGCCTTTGCAGACGAAAGCCGCGCAAGATACACATTCCGTGGGCTTCGCGCGCGGCGTTAAGTGAAATTGCGTGGGAGTTCAAGTTGTTTTTCCGCCAACGAGCGCAGGATCGATTGTCGCGTTTGACAAGCTTGACAAAGTTACCGCGAATTGCCAAGAAAAATAACAGTCTCAAATATCAGGACAGCTGGACGATACATACAAGAACCATTGTATTTAAGATGATTATTGACCTCTGACATAAGGATTTGATTATCTCTCAGCTGCGATTTAACCGGCAAAATTCCTCGCGGGCAAATTGCTGTCGTTTCTCTCTCACGGGCAGACTAATATTTTTTGTGGACCAGCTTCCAAGTGTTGAGAAGCAATAACAGTGCTCTGAGTGATACGAATCTTCTTGATATTGGTCGAATGACGCAAATTCTTGGAGAAAAATACGCATCTACGACTTTTTAGCTGAATATTTTGCCTTGAATTAAAAATTTTAAAAAAAGTTCAACAACTTTTTTTAAAGAACCGTTCAATGAACGTGGTATACTTAACGTTTTATAAAACCAAATTTGAAACATTTTTTCCATGTGGGACATTTTGCTCAAACGATGTTTAGTTGTTAACTTAGACTTTAAGAGCCTTTTCAATATACAAGCGAACGAGTGATTCAGAAAGCAAAGTACAAAAAATATCAAAGTACTTACTGCAGAATGCGAAGACGGTTTTCTCGTGGGCATTGCAAGACATCTGGGAATAAAAACAGAACACGCTTAAAATCGTGGAAGATTAAAGTCACTCTCCAACTTGAAATCAAAGGAGAACTCCGTTTCTACAATCTGTAATAAAATGGCTTACTTACGATGACAGGCATAAAACATAAATAATCCAAGACCGAAGTTGTTCCCACGCCATGTTGATGATAATTTTGTACGGGATGTCAGGGCTACCTGCTTTGTGACTTCTTTGAATTGAGGAATTCAGCTGCTGTTGACCTTACCGGTGCGTGTAACGATTAAGTCGTCTCACTCTGTTATCCAGCTTTTATACCGCTGTTTACCGCCGGACACACGAATCTGCTGATTTTAGTGACAGCCGTCGTCGAGTGGTCGGCATGCCGAGCATTCCGAGTTTTCTCTCCGAAGGATGTTTCTCTTTATACAAATAGCGAACAAGAAGCCGACCCCACCCCGAAGTTGGCACAGAATCACGTAATAACACAAACAATGGTGCTACCGGAATTGGTGCGTTCCAGTGGAGTTTTTCTCGTCGTGTTCGCGGAAAGCGAGGGTAGCGTAGGAGTACTGTGGCTATTTTTTTCCAACCACACCAATCACTCTACAAGAGTTTGCAATTTAGATGGTTGTAAAATACTGATCCATCAAAGGCTCTTATATTCTTTTCTGGTTCCGGTTAGTCGAGCACACTGATTGCGAGAGCTCTGACGCAAAAGGAACAAATTCATGTACGGTTATTCAATGGGTATTTTTTTTTATCAGGAAGCATCACCGTCGCCATTTCAACAGTCCAAACTAATGTTTGTGAATGTGCTGACTAACCGGTTCTGGGCTGAAATCAGAGTTGTCACATAAATATCCTTCCAAATTTATGACTGACCTTTTAAGGATTTAGAAAGGTTCTCTAGATTTATTTTCTTTCCTTCTCGGAAGCGAAAGGTTATTTAAGCCATGCCAGTACGTCTTCCCGGTCAGACAAACACTAACTTACTAAGCAACGCTAGAATCTTTTGAGTTCATCTGAGCGTAACATATTATGCAAGACTTCAGCCAACACAAACAACTTGCTCTTGTAATTTCTAGAACTGTCGCGTGAACAATTGTAAGGATTAAAAGCTGAACAACAAAAAAAAGAGAGGAACTATAGCATGTCTATCAGCATAACTGCATCGTAACGTAATTAAAATCAATGTTTCTTTAAATAAAAGTCAATGACAAGGCGTGGGAGGGATTTTCCCCGAGTCATATCGATTGTGTTGGTCTGATATCATCACTCGCAAAATAGAATAAAAATACGAAAGGATGAATAATTATAATTCGTTATCCTTTTTTTCTTCTTCTCCAAATTGTTGACACTGTTTTCAAAGACATTGTATGGAGGCCGAAGGTCGTGGTGGCTGTAGGAAAACTAATGGCATTAGTCAGAGAAATGCGACACAGTTTTAAATGTGTCTATAACCGTTCTGTTTGAGGTATTTCAGCTGTGCTTGTATATTTGCTTATGTCGGATGAAAATGATTGGCTTCAGCTCGTAGAACGTTTCTTGGGGATGGTATAAATCCACTGTATCCAAGGGATAAAAAAAGACAAAGGAACTCTTTTTAATTGTTTCTTAATAAAGTATGGCGGATTTCAGTATTTTGTATTGCATGACCAGCAATGCAATTTTTTTTTTGCCTAGCCTAATTAACCGCATAACGGCACAGACGGTGGAATACAAATTGCTATTATATAAATAAGTACATTACATCATGACACAAATACTTTGTCCCTATATTTTTGACATGTCATGTCGCCAAATGTGGTTCCTGTATCTACAGCCGAATTGCCGTTTTCATAATGGTTATTTCAGCTTTTTAAAATAACTCAGGCCGGAATTATTTCAAGTGCCGCATTTAAAAGTGATTCAAATTTAGATAGTTTTTTGTCGATATCTAGACTGAGAGATATTTCGTCTGGTGTCCGCTCGTGCAGCCTGAAAGTGATATTTCGTGACCGCGAAATAGGTGTATGACTCAATCTTATGACGTTATTAGGTAACATAAGTCGGCAGTTGATGAGTTTGTTTCTTTGTAAGTATGTTGCGACAAAAATTGCAACAGTACTAACTTTATTTATAACATGTACGTATGTAATAAATCAATACTTTAGTACCTTTTGAGTAGCTACACATCCCAAAGATAACCGAGTAATTATTAGGCACATTACAGTGTTCTTTTACTTTTTTTTTTTTTAAAAAACTATATTGGTTTTGAGTTAAACTTCCGGAAATTTGCCCTATGATAAGTCATGAATAATTATATTTAGATTATGCTTCGATACATAATTTTGTTTCGGAGTTTGTGGAAATTCCGGAGACAAAAATCGCTTACAATGATGTTAGGCCTGTCGCATAAAAAAAAACAAAACAAAGAATAGGGAGGTGCCGTAAAACCTCTTTCCTTCAAATTCTTTTAGGTATTGTTTTTTTTCCTTGAAGTAAGGGAAAACAAACAACTCAGCTTGAAGATCAAAACAAACTTAAAATCCTACGTACGATTTTTCAATCTTCGCCAAATTGGAGCCGAGTCCTGTTTTTCAGTGGAGACGATGTGGCTGAGAAAACAAGGCACTTGTGTTAACACCCATTGTTCGAGTCATTTGTTGAATGGGGCCGGATAAGCCTTACTCAAAACGATTTATACACAAATCGGAGGTTGGTGTCAGAGGAAATATTCAACATAACTGTGGTTTGTTTAAGTTCACACGCTCTAAATGGTCTTTCGTCTTTGAACAATGCGGGCAACGAATCAAACATGGCTCAAAGCTGAATCCAATTTGTGCGGGTGCTGAAACACACGTGCGAAAGTAAACATATTCTTGTAACTGACAACGTCACGGTTTCTGAATAAAGCTTGCTATCAATTGAAAATAGACAGCTTACAGCGTTAACTTTTGCTTTAATTTTCTTTCACATTTAGTACGATTTTTCACTGAAACAAAGCGTTAATTTAGATGCATGCATCACGTGTTTTCATCTAGGTTTAGAAACCTAGAACCAACGGGAAATCTTGGGTTAAATGTTTTTATTATTGGCACACATCTTCAAACTGATAATCGTGTTTTTTTGATGAGTATTAACCATTCATGTTCTCTTTGAATACTGTTTTATTTTCCTTGAGTTATCCGATTAAGTCCTTAGCCTGTTTTGAATAGCAATCGATAGCGACGCTCCCACATTAACTGACAAAACAACGACAAACTGATACAAACGAACATAGAAAGGAGAAAACTGTTGAGCTGATGCCGGTAACAAACTGAATAAATAAATCAGGCTTACTTTTCATAAAACCGAAGTGAAGTCCTTCTCGATAACCTGTTACGTCGAAATCTTTTACAACGAGTGTTTTAGTAATTAGTCGTGCGTATCCATCAATAATGCAATTTGCCATCTGTCAGTTTTGCTCGTTACACGTGTTATAATTCAAGTCATTTTGTGCTCTCTGTACCAATATCACTAAGAGCTATGAGAAGAATTTTCAATTCTGTGTTTCTTATCTGTGGACTAATATTACGTTAATCCATACACGACTTGCAAGTGGAAGATATTTCTCTCATCCTTAGCTCAGGGTGATCAGTCCTTTTGTAATACTGGAAGATATTTCTCTCATCCTTAGCTCAGGGTGATCAGTCCTTTTGTAATACTGCCCCGTTTCCTCAAAGGCGGAGCATCATTTCAGAGCTAAAGAAACTGGCAAACTGAACTGAGAGGAGAGTGCAAGAGACAAAATAAAAAATGTTCGCTCGAAAAGAGTTTCTTAAGGATCGCACTCACAATACTGCTTAAATGAGCCTGATATGTGTTACTGTCTGGGATGTGCAAGTGCAGGCTTGTAAAATTCAAATTCCCGCAGAACTAATTAGCGTTATAGTGACACATAATCAGCAACGTGGTCAGTTGAACTCACTCAAACACGCTTAATTTTATAGTTATCCGCAAGTTATAAGGGAAAGTTTCTCTGTATGTTTCTCATTTAATTAACAACCAGAAGAAGAAATCTAAGCTATTTATGTGATAGGGCATTTTATCAAACAATTGGTGTTTAACGCTATGTAAATATATATATTCGAAACTCACTAGCCGTATATCTTGCACGGAAATGGTAACTAAAAACCTCTTAGTGTAAAGCAACTAGTAAATTATTGTTCAAGTATTTTTCTACTGAAAGGAAATTCTCTTCCCTCTTCAGTCCTACGGGACACTCTCTCAAGGCGCGTGTGAAGAGAACATCGAAGGAGTTTGATCCGATTCAGATGAGAAATTCTTTCCACTTGACAGCGCTTACCTTTCTCTGATCACCTTGGAAATTCAGAGCGTCAAAGCACATTTTAACAAACTTCAATTTTAGCCATGACCCCCTGGTGTAATGGGATGGACCTTTTAACAAACGCCCACATTACTTTAAGATATAGTTAACGCCCTTTTCCTTCTTTTAAACGTCTGTGTGGTGTGTATACGTGCTTGCTCGCTAAATTACGACATGTTTTGCTATCAGCTTTGTATGTATAACAAGACAGCATGCTGACTAATTCGGAAATAACTGGATAATAATACAACATGAGAAAGATAAACTAAGTAGTGGTCATAGGGATTTTCTTGTAATTCAGTTATTTACAAATTCGATCAGGATATAGAACACTATGTGAAAATTATTGCGCGCACGAAACTGCTAATTAGTCGTTAATTATATTAATTTGAATTTTAGTAAGTTGTTTAAAAAATGACAAAGTAAATATATAATTGCACATTTTGGTCATACTAAATTACACCACGATTTTCAACTTCCACCATCCCAACCACTGCGTGATTTCACTTAATTTCCGTTCAGAAAATAAGAGCTGAAGAAATGAGCAGGTAGCAACTGGCCAGAAAAAGAACAAGATGACGAAATCTAGTTGTTTATTGCTCGCAGTCTTTGCAGAAAAAAAAACAATTATACGTCAGGGATTTCTTGTATGACGTAAAACTGACTTTGTTTTGTTTACGATTGTACGTAATAAGCCTTCGCAATATAATAAAGTGGCTTTATAAAGTCAAGCCAAAGTTAGATTACACTTTTTTAAAAAGATGGCAAGCCAAAATTGTCAAACCCAAAATTGTCGAATGTTCCTCTCTTGATCTCTCGTGGATTATGCACTTACCAGTTTACCTTAGATGTTACGTTCATTAAATCTTTCTATCAGCGATGACAGCGAAGATGTCATATGCCAGGATGTTTGTCTACTGTACATGACTGTGGTTGCCAAAGAAAACGCGGAAAAAAAATTGCCCTGAGAAACAAAACTTGCGGTTATGAGGCGGCCAGGAGTCTAGCTAGCTTGTGATGAATTCCGACCTGGCTTAGTAAGATCTAGTAACAATACTTGTATACCGTTAGATCAGAATGTGGAATATGATAGATATTCATTACAAACGTGAAATCGTTGAGAATACTGTAAGACCATTACAATTGAATGGACTTTGAGAGCAGACCTTGATTGCTATAAAACAAGAAAACATGAGAAACGTACACATTTGAAGCAATGTTTTACCAAGTGCAAGTTTATTGTGCTCGTCCGGAAAGAATTAATTAAGTTGGCTTGACAACCTATTTATCGGATTTCAAGTTTTGGACATTTTTCCGTTTCAAGCCCTGGTAATCAGAGTTTACATTGTAAAGAAAAACAGACTATTGTTAGTCCTTGTAAAAGGTTGGAAGGAAGGCAACCAGGAAAACAATATCTGATGCAAAATATTTTTACATCAGCGAACCCCTCAGTTTATTGCGTATTGTTGTTTTTGTACATTTACGTACTTCCCCATTTGCTTTTAATCTTATTTACTATTGTCAATAAACGCTTCACAGTTTTTTTCCAATCGGAAAGTCAAAAAACATATTAGCTAACGCGGCCTAAATGAATCTGACAGTTTACTCGAGATTACACCAAGTTGGTATCACAACAAAACTCCAGAGTTATTCTATCGAGTTTCTTCTTCATTAAAACGCAATACCGGTTTACTTAGTATTTATATGTTTAGGCGGAAAGGTAACATTGCTGAAAAGTTATTACAGCGACAAACTGATGAGTGATACAGCGTGATTACCTGAATGATACTTAAAGTAAACGTGACATTGGATATGTTTTTTTGTCTGCATGGTGGATCACTGAAATGCCCGATTTAAAGAAAGCCATGGGCTCAAATCGATTCCCAACCTGTTCAGACACTGATCATGTCTTCTCATACAAGCGTTCTCAGGATGACATATTAACTGTCTAACTTAGTCTTTTATTTGCCCAAATTAAGGAGTAACTGTCGTGTTCAAAACAACGAGTGATTAATGTCCAAATTGATAAGTAATCAGTGTCTAAATTAACGAGTAGTTTGTGTCCAAAATAACGAGCAATCTATGTCCAAATTGAAAAGTAATCAGTCTCCAAATTAACGAGTAATTTGTGTCCAAATTAACGAGTAATCGTGTCCAATTAATCGTTTTTAACACGAATAATGGTGTTCAAGGTCGAACAGGCAAGTGTCAGTGCAATAAATTGAATAAAGGAATCCAAAGTAAAATTCTCGTGAGCCTCCGGTCAATATCAGACAGCGGTATGATTTATGATAATTAATGTTCCAATTGCTCCTTATACGGGAAAGAGGCAAGACTTTTGAAGAGAAGATCCGGTTTAAAAAACAAATGTACATCTTGTGCACTGCACAAGGTGTGTCTCGGTTTTCTCATAGGAACTACTTCTCGGCCGAATTGTTTGACGCAATAGTTCCATGTTTTCGCACAATGCTATCTTTACTATTTTATAAATAAACCCAAATAACACATCATTTGATTTTCTGTCGCCAACCCTTACCAAATAAGGTGAAAAATCTAATTGAAAAGTTTTCTAGTTATATAGCGTTTGAGTCATACTTAATACATGAGGAATTTTATCGCCAGTGACATAATTGCGCGCGCGGGTTTTTTTTCTTTAGATATACCGAAACTCAAATATCTAAAAAGAAGTGCTTAAGAGCATTCTTAAGTTAACCACAGATATTATACAAGAACATCGCACAATATTGGACCGCATAACACAGTCCTTTCATCGGTCAAATCAGCAATACAGAGATTGAATTGGCGCTGGCATGAAAATAACTGAAATAGGAAGTCATCGCATGCTGAATTGACGATTTACATGGATTGGGTTAGATAGAAAATCACGAGAAACTACAAGTAAGAGAGTAAATTGAAAAAAGGCTGACCTAACAGTCACAACCCGCTGGTTTTTTAATCTTCTCTAAAGTGAATAGCTTGCCACGTGGATTATTCCGAGTTGAAAACTGACTCGAGCAAAATATTGCCCCCACATCTCTATATCTTACACCAGACAAATTCGATATTAATTGTTCTACCAAGTGAAAGAAATATTCTTGATTATTCCCTCATGTTCACTCTAATTATGTCGGTAACGTTTTGTTGACTTTCTTTTGTCGTGCATCTTTTGACGTCCTTTAAGTCTTTACGTTAGAAGTCTTTCAGTGCCCCGGTTTTTTCCGCCGGACTTTCGCAAAGGTGTTCTTTTGTGGTTAAGCCGAAATTTCGGTTTGTCTAAGCAGGTGAGAAGATTGCATAATTCCGTCTCTAATTCCTGCGGTGATCAAAAACAGTAAGCGATATAAAATCAGCCGGCTTTTTGTGAATTTCATAAAGAGGTTTTTTTGACTGTTCAAGTACCGCTCTTCAGTGTGCGGTGGATCCATAACAAAACAAAGCAAGATCTTTGACACATGGCTTGCCGACATTTCCTATTTTAGATTATTAAACTCACAAAGCCAGCCACATGTAAAACCTTCTTTGTTGTCTACACGCACATACACTAGAAACGCGTTAATCAGGGAATAAAACTACGGTAAAAAGGCAACAAAGGAAACAAAAAGCTTGTAACAGTCCCACGAAGATCTGAAATATTAAGTCAGTCGCTAACAGTTACACTGGCCTGAAAATGTTCGACTACTTATGCATTAAAATATCGATGTTTTACAGCAGTTTTAGTTAGCCCTATGTAAAACATTATTGAAACACAATGCCGGTTTGCGAGAGAAGGGGAACATCAGTTGTATATTTCCTTTGAGCGGACGTCTGATTAACAACATTTTAGTTTGAGTTTTTTTAGTTTTTTACTTGTCGCCCAAAGTTATTTGCATTGTTATGAGTCGAAACAAGAATGGATAATAAATTCTGAAGAGAGATAAAGTGTTGAACTAACCGGCAGTTACAGAAACTAGGGACCAGCAAATACCAAGCATTTATATTAAAATTAGCAGAATTGTATTATTTACTTATCACACAAACTGTTTAACTTTGTCATCTGGACACCCTGCAATGTCATGCTGAGAAGGAGACTGGAATAGGCTATAATTATAACGTACAAGAGAAATCAACTAAGCAAAGTCTATTGTATGCTTACAAAATAGTAAATAAGCATTTTTCCAATCTTAGACAGTCTTATACACTCCAATCTAGACAGTATTGTCAAAACACGCGACTTGAATTATAAAAATGGCGTTAAAAGTTACAATCAATGTCGTAAAAACAAAACACAACTTGTATATAACAGGCGGTAAATTAGCAAGAATTGTTTCATTTTCAGACTAGACAGTATTGTAACGACATGCAATGTAAATCATAAAATTGGCGTTAAAATTACAATAGCCTGCAGTCGTGGTAGCAAAAATCAAAGATATATAACCATTGAAACATTAACCGTTACATTTCATTTATGTCAGAAGACAACCGGGTTCTAACAATGTCTCCTCTAGTTTTTGTCTTTGTGTGTCTTGCGTCCATGAACGTTCTTGGAGAACCAGAAGAACAGCCGATCAAACTTGAACAAGGTTCGTTAGTTTTATTTCATACAGTTCTTGTTTTACAAATCGGGAACAGCTGTAGTTTGTTTCAGCTTTTCACTATTTTCGTTGAACCACTCTGTGGGTTCAATTTCGGCTTTGCATGTACACTACAAGGCCGTGATTTCACATCACCACCATACTGGTCAGATCAAATAAGTGCCGCTACTGTTTTTCAGGCCGCAGAAGCATGTCTAAATTGATAATCGTGTTTGTAGATAGGTTTGACCCCAGCTAGTGTCACACAGTAGAGGTAAAGACCACCAGTCTGAAGCAGTAGGGGACTATTAGTGTTAGCGGTTTAGTCTTTTCTAGGTTATCACAGTAAGTAAATGAGATTTGACGAAAATACTGAAAGCGAAAGACCCCCTTGTGCAACGTAGCCATTGTACATAACCTCTCACACAGTCAATCCCTTATTATACTCCGACAACCTCGTTAGTACGACCACCTAGTACGTATCACAGCCAGTTTTCGGCTTAAAAAAATCTCACAGTCATTTAAAGTCATCCTGGTAATACGATCAGAAATGGCTGGGTCGCTGGTAAGATGAGATAAGCGGGTAACCTTATTACATCCTTTCAGGATATCTCAAACATAGAGTCACAAGATTATACATCTTGGTGGTCGAGTTCTCGTGTAAAATCACGCGTACGTTGTGTCAGCTGTGCTCTTCACTATTCACTAAAAATCCGCGTGTAAGACTGACCTACATTTTTTGAAGTCTGGCAAAATAGGTTCTTGTATTTTGGGGGTAGTTATTGGCAATTTAGTCTAAGTAGGTTGTTAATTAGGTCCTTAATTTCTATGAAGGAGATATAGTTGTTGATTACCAGAAAAATAAATACACTTGTGTTTGGTTGTTACAGTATTTATTCTCAACTGACCGGTATTATGCATGTTTCTTGTAACGGAAATTTGTAATCTCAAAGCCACACTCCTTGGTTAAAATGTTTATCATAATTTAGCTGTAATTCACGTATAAGAACTTGTTCGAATCTTGCTTGGCTAAACAGATTCTTATACTCTGGGCAGTCAAAACGTCAAATTTCCACCAGCAGGTTCTTGAACCACTAGACTCTTGCACGCGTTTTTTTTACTGTATATGAAACAGTCTATTATGATAGGTAGGAGCTCAACATTTTACACGGTACATGTTGTATTGGAAAATCACGACCACAAATCTAATCTCTGGAAGCAACAAACGACCTCCTTCATTTGCAACTTTTATCGACTATTCCACGATCTTATGTCGCAGTCTGGCAATTCCGAAATATCTACGTCTATTGATTTTCAATTTCAACCGCATGGATGAACGTATTAAAGAAGCTGCTACGAGAAAGGGCATTGGAAAAAGTAACCAATTTCCCACATTTTTGGCTCAAAATCTGCCTTAATGTACCTCAGTTGTTATCAGACTTGTTTATTTTATTTTTGGTTATTTCTCAGTCCTTCTTCTGTTTTGTGGTTTCCTTTGGGCCCAGGTCAAACGTCGAACTTCACATGAGACGAACTAAACTGAGCAAATTAAGTTCGTGATATGTACGACGTTTGACTCAACTGAGTTCGTCCCGCTGAATAAACAAGGTTGCCACAGGTCAGGAAATGGTCAGGAGAAAAAAAAATTCTCTTTAAGGCCAGGGAAAAGTCAGGGAATTTTATTTCGAGTCCTGAGAGAAAATTGACATTTTGAAGAAAGTCAAGGAAAGTTTTCATACCATTGAGGACTGTAGGAAACATTCGGGGTCACTGTGATCTCAACGGTATTTTTCCTGAATGAAGAAGAGAGATTTGTTGAAAACTTATTAGTCTTTAGGAACGAGTGGAAAGGACGGCTGTAAGGGAAGGCTAGAAGCTGCTATTAGACCTGACATTTTGTATTTATTTGGTCAGGGAATTTTGAAAAGTGATGTCTATGGCAACCATGATTAAGATCATCTAGCACGTTCTATCCGTCTGAAGCAGTCGATCTAAATATTCGAATTAAGTTTGACGTTTGACCCAACGGTCAAACTTTGCCTGTTTGCATCGACTCAAATTGCAATTTAGTTCGTCCAATGTGAAGTTAGACGTTTGATCGGGGCCTTAGTTTCCTTTAAGGTTCCTTTGGAACTGAAAATAATCGTGACATATACACTATAGTTCTTTTAAAGGCACCAATGCGTGCGGATTTTAATAACGAAGGAATAACTTATTAAATGGAATGCTTTGGTAAGGAAACTCAATCACTGGGTGTTGCTGTTACCTAGATCTAGGCTCCAAAATTTAAAAGCGCGATCAATACATTTCTGGTCACGTAATGCAGCCGGTCGTTGTGGTGACGTCCCCTAATTGAACGTCAGCTGGTGTCCAGAAAAGAGCTCTGCAAAGTTTCGTTAGAAGAAGTTTGACTGTACTGATTAAGAGCATTAGCCATCTGCGACCTTTACCTATTATAGAAGCACGAAGGCACTTTACAACAAGCAATGATTCGTTGTTATCCTTCTTTCATATTCAGAAAGCCAACAGTATGCACTTCCCGACAGCGCTATCGGTCTTTGGCTTCAGCAACAAAAAATGGTGAAAAGAGTATGCCACAGGGACACCAAGGAAAAAGTACACACAGGTAAAAATAAATACTGTTTTCTTTATCAGTCAAAGCCGGTTAAACGTCTGCCTGACACACAAGTAGTACGATATTCTAGATAAGGCCTGGAATCCTTATGCAACTGCTACGGAGTTAAATTGCCCGAGGAATGTTTTATTTCGGTTGATTGGAATACGTGAAAGACGGTTGAAGGAAAAAAGGACATTTAACTGAATGAAGATACGGCATGCTGTCCTCAACGGAACATTGTACTTGTGACCGAGTGTTTTCGTCATTCCTAGGGTTTCAATTGATGTTCAATATTGCTAGAGTTATTTGTTGACGCTTACCCTGTGAGAGGTAAACATACACCCATTTCCCCTTTCACTGGGACAACTAAGAGGCCACATTGTCGAACACCAATATCAAGGCTGAACGAGAAACAACAACGGCTCAATCTTATCTTGGAAAACACAGGTAATTTTCGGCCGATAGCATTGAACGTTAGTTTAATGAAATTAACACTTGCCACCAAATTTATGACTTTATCAAATAAATCTATAGAGAGCTTACGAAATATACAGATATGCGTTTAGAATAATAAAATTGATAACGGTTTCACTTAAGGACTTCAAAAACAATTTAAGTGCCCCGACACGACGCTCGCGGTTTGGAAAAACTTATTGTTGTTGTGTCTTCGATCTTGATCGATATTGATGTCCGGGTGACGATGTTTATTAGATCTAATAAGAATGACAGCTAAGTACTCATTAGATAGGCTTATAGATGCAATAAAGAGATTGACAACTGTAAGAAAGGAAATCATAATGGCTGTATGCATGTCTCTCACAGTATAGAACTTCAACGTAATTTCTGGTAAGCAATATATATAAATGCATCCGGAGCTCTCAGGAATCAAAACACTTGATGATCATAAGTACACAGATGTTTTGCTGACGGTAACGTCTTAGCAAGTATTTCCTTTCATAATTAGAATGTTCATACACGTACTCTGTTCCAGGAACTGGACAAACATTCCAAGTGGCTAATTGTAAAACAAGTCTTGTTGATGCCACAAGAGAGGAGGAGCACTCGCGCGGAGATCAAGTACGTTTATAAGCTCTTGAATCCGATAAAGGACTGTAGCGTTTCCCCCTCCCCCAGGGGGCTCCTATATGAACCTGACAGAGGTGTTATCAGAAATTAAGAAAGGAATCCCTGAAAGCGTACAAAATTGTCATTTTGTTGGGGTGGCTTGAATTCATTTTCACCCTAGAAGGTACTAGTTCTTCCTTAAAACTAATTTCTGTCTTATAAGTTCAGGATTCATACACTAAAAAGGTACTGGGATTGCTCTAAGGCAAGCAACTTTAGATTTAAACACCTTACGTGGTACGAAAACACAGGTTTTAACCCGACGAAGAGCCCGTCATTTGTACGCAGAAGTTCCCCTGTCCCCCTGCCCAGGACTTAACCGTTTCTATGGCAATTTGTCTTTCTATTGCTTTCAGCAAGAGACTATGATAGTCTCTTGCTTTTAGTCCTCGTCAGATAAACTTAACATATCCAATCACCTTCTCTTTAATCTTGTCAGGAAGTTTGTCCTGGTACCGACCTTTGCATAGCCTCGCTATCAGAGGTTACCACGATCAGGACATTGACTGGTGTTCGTGACGTCACAAGTGCTGTCAGCTGCACATGCGTTCCACGTGAAAGGGACTGTCAGCGAATTTCCAGCCAGCAAGTCTTTTTCAATGAAACCAAGTTTGAAACGAGAGTCGATGTCGGTCAGTGCATTGGAAAGTGTCGCTTACATGGTAAGTGGTAATGCGGGTTTAGATCTCATGAGTACAACTTTTTTACTGCGGTGTTGTGGAGTTTCATTGTATCGCGCACAGCCCTTAACAAATCACACACTGCGATCAACCATACTTGTTCGCTGTCTTTAAAAACTCAACTTATAATTGTTTCGTGTGTTTGCAGGTTCTCGTGAAATAGAATGCAAGCCAACCTCTTTAAAGACTGTCACAGTAATAGGACCAAATGGTGAGTAACTAATAAGACATTGCCCAACATAGTGAAACCCGTGCTACTCAGTGTACTAAATTAAACCACAGTGCAGCAAATTCACATTGTACTTCTACATTTTGTGATTCAGGTGCCAAGTGTGTTGAAGTAATCCGGTCATGTGCATGTGAAAGAAAGTGTTACAGAATCTCTCATAACGAGGCATTTGCAGTCCAACACAACAACTCCACATTGACAAAGGTGAGCAGAGCCTAATTCAATGCTATTGCTAATAAATCCACTATAGCGAGCGGATACTTACTCTCAAAGTCCAGTCGTAAACGGCATTAGACGAAAAAATTAGACATCTTTCACCGAAATATTAATTTAACATATGATAACCTTCTTTACAATAACCGCAGAAATTCTTGCGCGCTCATTGGCTAATTTTCACTGTTAATAAGCGGACAGATTCATGAATTTCTAATTTATGCGATGCGTCAGTGAGCGAGGGCAGACAATTTGACAATTGGTTATTGTAAAATACAAATTGACGTCAGTTTTTCATGCGTCTGTCCTGTTATTGACAATGAATTTCGTCAATGTTATGACGAAATTCATGATCAATAACAGGACAGACGCATGAAAACTGACGTCAATTTGTTAAATCGAGTTGCTCCTTGGTAGTTTTGAAGTCATACAGTATAAATTTTATCTGCCTATGAGACAACACCCTTTTGGCCAAAATAAAACTGAACGTATTACCAAAGTTGAATCACTTTACTTCCCTTAGAAACACACATAATTGAAACAGGTTCCTCTTTCATTTGTTTACTGAGGACGCTAATACAAATTTAAAGTGCTGAAGATAATTTTGCCTTGGTTGTTTCAGATTATCGATGTCGGTCGCTGCGTTGGAAAATGTTCTGGTCACACCAAAGGAGAATGTCTTTACTGGTAAATATACTTATTTTCTATTACATTCAGTATCAATTTGTTTTACGCGCACGATACTTTAGGAGAAAGGTACGGAGACTATTTCCATACAGAAAAGTGTGGAGACCAGAGATGAAAAAAGTTATCTTTCTCATAAACTGTTTTATTTCCACAGGATAAACAACAGAGATGGGTCTGGGTCGAGAACAAGGCATTGCGCAGTCCGCACTAAGACTAGGCCGAAGCAATGTTACCCAGAATCCACCAGTGAGCAGACTGTGGGCGGAAAGACGGTGTCGGTTATAGAGTCGTGCGCGTGTCGCTAGTGAATTAAACAACGGTGAAAAAAAAGCTGAGGACACTACTGACGATGGATAAGTCTGTAAGATATCTCAGAGCAAGGATAAGAAAAGAGAACGAAATAGTAAGAGAACATTTAAGAGCTGTAAAGCTGCTCGACAGATGACAAATTTCAAAAGCACATTTAGGAACAATCAGCACATTAAAGGAACAATTAGCCTGCGCATGACGGTCTGATGGAAAGAAGGGTAACTTGCGATCAGGCGTTCTGTTTTCGTGTTTTGGGCAGGGCTCTGACCTAACTAAATCTGGCAAAATGCTATCAACATAAGCAACAAGCTAACTCAAAGAAGAAGCAGATAAAACGGAGAATGCAAATGAACGAAACTGAAAACAAATCGTTTTTGTATATATTTGAAAAGAGCTTTTGGGGCCATTCAACTAAATAATGATTAATCCCGTTCAAGTCCTCAGGGAAACATTAACTTAGCTATCAACCGTAATGGGCTTGAAATATTTCTCAGAAATAAATTTGTCACATCAATTAGTTTCGTTCAAGTCCAACACTAGCTAAGCTTTAAAACAGATATCTTTCCTTACATTTTGAAGAAAACGCTTACAATAAATCAGTCACTTCTTTCTTCAGTTATATCATGAATAATTTCGCTTATAGACTAGTATCAAGATTTGCTTTGCTTCGAAGAGAGCCCGCCTCTAATAAATAGATTATTGAGTAAGGTCTGCTTACTTTTGTAAAAGCATTTCTCAATTTTAATATTATTAAAGGTTATAAAACTACTGAGTGTCGAGTGTACCTGGTTTCTTTTTCTCCCTACGTACTGTTCCAAACGTGAGGCATAGACAGACCTTTCCAACTGGTTCGTAAACAATAAAGCGTTATCTTAGAGAAAACTTTGGTAAGGACCATTATAATCTCTAAACTATTGACAATTTTTCCTGGCAGATTCTAATGACAACTCATGGTCCATTAGTATTGTGTAAACGAAGGATTTAATTGTCAGTAGAGGCGTTAACAAAGGCCTGTCGATTCAAAGGATGTTAATTGTCTTTACACGTCCATGCACTTATCATCTCGTCCATCATTTCTTTCTATATGCCAGACTGAACAAAGTTGAAAAAATGTCGTTGTTGTCATCTCAAATGCTTGGAACCTTTCCGCTGTATGTTTGGTTTTTGATATGGATGAATGTTGTTGGCGTGGCTTTCATAACTGGATGCAAGACTTGCAACAGTAGACAAGCTCGCGAGAAGAGGTTGATCGCAGTTCAGGGACAGATTCTGGCCAAGCTTGGCTTAACGAAGCCTCCGAACGGAGAAGAGATTTTTATGAATGTTAGCCGTGAAGTGATGCAGACGTACAAAAGCGCGGTGCAGGAAAAAGACAAGTTATTACTGGAATCGAAGTTGTGTCGTTCTCAAGTGGACGCAGACGAAGAATACTTTGCTAAGAGAGTCGAACGACTGCTACTGGAAAAAGAGGTTGCTAGAACGGTCGTACCAAGTAAGTATGCAAAGCTTAGACTGTAAGGCTTTGCTTGATCATGTTCTTTGACATTTTACTGGAATTTTCGTAAGTTTTTAAAAGTCTTCAGATCTTAGGTGTTTGTTCCCGATCTATTATCGCTTAGACTTACAGTGGTACATGGTGTAACTCAAATGATTCGGAAGGATCGAGGCAACTTTATTACCAGGGTCACTTTGTTACGTTGAACAAGGCGCGCTTAATTTTCATGGGGCTTCTCTTTGCCCGGGTTGTGTAAATGGTTGCAGAGGATTTGAAATGCTGGGGGCTCTGGGGGTTGAGCTGAGATCGATGAGCATCCCAGTCAGGGGAGAGAGGTAATGATACTCGTCTCTAGATGCTATTGAAACCGGAGTCAAGCGCTGGCTTGACCATCAAGGCTTAAAAGAGGGCCAAATTGAGGTTAGGCTAGAAACTCAGTTGTAAGTTAAAATGTTAGCTCCATTCTCAGCAATCAGTATAAATTTGTAGTTCTCGTATCTCAGTTATCAGATAAAAAGCCCTTCATTTCTCAGCTGACCAATACTTAAATCCCATCCAGACTCGTCTCTACTGAGTGGAAAGACCACTTTTTTATTGGTATTGCAATATGATTTGATTTCAATGATAGGTCGACGTGTAAGTTACATATAGAGTAGCATGCCGTTTTTTATTGCCATACCAGGAATTGAGATTATATAAAGCGTCAGTTCAAAACATAAACAACAATTATATAACACGAATAATTAACTCTTGTAGGCCCCAAAGGAAAGAATGACAAGGATGTGTACTCACTGATATTCAACCTCAGCAAGCTTGTAACAGAGAGCGCACGGGTGTCGTTAGCAGAGCTGCGGCTTTATCAGATGCCAAACCAGCGACAGCCTCTAAGCAATGTACGCATCGATGTTTGTGAAAACACTGGGGAACATGACGACAATGCTAAGAATGGCTGCATTACTGCGCTTGATTCTGCCTGGAGTTTATCTAGCGAAGAGAAGTGGATATCTTTTGATATCACTTCAGTGGTGCAGAAGTGGCTTGAGGATTCTAGCACAAACTACGGTCTTACGGTTACCGTAACAAGCTCGGTACCTGCAGACAAAGATGAACGTGTTTCTCCGATTTATCTCGGTGGGCCAGCACCAAAACAGATGCACGACGAAGACGAAGAACCGTGGCCAAATATTCTTGTATGGTTCATCCCTCGTGAACGGGTCCACTCGACGAGACGAAGGAACAAGCGATCCTTGGATTCAAATTATTGCAAGAAACGGTCTACGGAAACACGATGCTGTCTTCGTTCGCTGTACATCGACTTCAAGAAAGATTTGCGTTGGAAGTGGCTGCACGCGCCGAAAGGCTTCTACGCAAACTACTGCGCCGGTCACTGTCCTTTGATGTGGGGAGTTGAGAAACAGAACCACCACACTACCATTATGTCTCTGTACAACAAAATCAACCCAGATGCCCCAGGGGACCCCTGCTGCGTGCCTAAGACTTACGAGCCACTGGTCGTGCTCTACTTCAAGGATGGTGAACCAAAAATTGATGAACTGTCAAACATGGCGGTCAGCGAGTGTACATGTCTGTGAACCAGCATTGCGGCCCTTAACATATTACTGGGCATCTTTGGTCAAAAGGCTTTATCGAATCCCCGATCTTTGATATCAAGTGCTCAATCCTTTTTTGACTTTCTCTAGAAATCTACAGTCCTCGATTTTGAATTCAATCCTCAAATATGATCGCCGAAATCTTTTTAACAGTATCAGCTCAGGTACCTATGTGCACTCAGTAGATTACAAGCAACGCGCGAAACATAACAAAGTACAAATTTCCCATGATATTTTTGCTCCAGGAAACCGGTTTAACAAGTTAGTCTGTTGTGGCTCGTGAACCAAAGCCAAAACGCAAAACACAATAGCTGGTTTTCACATGACGTCACTAAAATTCGAACTACAAATCTATTGATCTTCCTGAGATTTTACTTAAATGATGTATGAGAGCAGCTGAA